GGTGGGGGGGGAGGGTTTGCGCAATTAATAATTTCTATTATATATTATGTTATGTATTATATTATAAGTATATATTATTTATATTGTATTAGACATTATAGTAAAATTTATAATAAAAGAAGTTGCTTGCACATCTCAATTGTTTTTTTTCTATTTTTTCTGATTCTAATTGTTTATTTTCTATTTTTTATGTCTTTTTCCTTACGTAATATTTCCAATATAAATGCAAAGCCGAGGCTCGAACTTGCTTTGAATCCCGGTTGAATCAATTTTAATAGGTTTGAGTCTCGACTAAACCAAACTGGTGGTAAAATCAAATTTCTTTCCCGAAATTCGTAATATCTTTCTACCCATTACATTCTTCTGATATGAAAACATGAAAATTGAGAAGCTGAAAATAAAAATTTATAAAAGTTTTCAAATTTCCCGCCAAAAATTCCTGCTACCCTGCTCATTTTGACACATTAGCTGCGTTCAGTTTTGCAAATCGGAAATATCGATTTATTCTGGTTGCTTCAGGAAAGTCGTTGCATTGGCTAGATATTAACTTAAGATAATCTTAAGAGCAAACTAACGTCTCCAATTTCGGTAAAACCGAACGCAACCGTTATCCAAGTAGAACATAAATCACGATAACGTCAAAATAATAACGAAAAAAATGATCGAATCATTATCGAAAAGTGCGTTATTACTGTTACTTTCTCATTATTTTCACGTCATCGTGATTTCTACCATCGTGATTTAAATCTAATAAACGATCAATTTAACGGAAGTGACCAACGATATTGATCAGTTCAACTGATTGGCGAATGCGATTGGCCAATTCCGTTGAGTTAATTGTCGATTAGATTTAAGCCAAGGTTGTAGAAACGGGTGATAGAGGCATTGGTGGCATTCACTGCCAGTATCGAATATCTATAGTACACGTAACGTGAACTGTAGATTTCCAATGTTGGCAGCATGGCAGTGAATATCGGAACATCGTATTGTGTGTGAGTCCGTGTTCTTCCCCCTCCCCTATACTGTTTGTATTCTGCTCTCACACCAAACGAACAGCCTGAATTAGGCTTTCAGAAGTCACATATAACGAGACGCGAGGCGAGAAACGGAAACAACGTTATCTAGAATTATACTTATAAGAAGTTGAAGTGAGTGAGTATCCAAATATATTGTGTCTGTGATATATGTGTCAGTAATAATTAGCTTATGATCCGAATGAATTATGTTGCGTTTCTTTAAAGTGGTGTGTATGTTAAATCCGAACAATTATGTCTTGTCAGGACTCACCGTTCTCTACGATGTATGACCGCCAGGACGATTATGATCTCGATGAGGACAACGAGGAATATATAGAGGAAGACAGGGACGCTGAGGACCAAGATGATAGCGATGAAGGTATATACGTGTGATGTACAAGTGTGATACCTTTAAAAGTACAACGAAATTCGAGAGCAAGTTGACTGGATATTAACAGAAATCTCAGTCGATACTTATTTTTGAATTCTTATTTCTCATCCTTTTCATATGTTTCACACGTGGAGAAATTGTTTGTGAAGAAATCTGACAAAGTTAAGGGGGATTTTCTAGATACCGAAGAGGCCAGTGAACCTGACATGGGAAAATCGGAAGAATATACAGAAATTAAAGAACAGTAAGTTTAACCCTAAAAAGCCCAATGGATCTCACAACCATGTTAAAGCTTTGGCTAATTGAATATGTAAGGGCATATATGCCTTTCGTAGCTGAAGAGTTAATGAAAGTAGTACCTAATTGAATCCTTTCCGATGTGAAAAAAATAGTTTTAGAAAAGATTTTGACCCATTGGGGTTAATAGGTGGTCGAATGCTTGAGCTTTCTAAGATTAACACAATAAAATATCACTCATATGTGAATAGTAAACTTGGTTTTAGATATTAAAATGTTGCTATTGTTTAGGATGTATCAAGACAAATTGGCAAGCTTGAAAAAACAGCTGCAACAGTTAAACGACGGCACACATCCCGAGTACAACCGTAAATTGAAACGACTGGAAGCACAATACAGGGAAAGGTTGTTAAATTATCATTATTAAGCACATACCGATTATTTATGAAAATCCCTAACAAACTAACGGAGTTGTTATCCTTGTTAGACTGAGTCTGAATATAATTTATCGAGACTATCTGACGGAATGCGTTGAACGGGATTACATAGTGGAGAAGAAAGCGGCAGTGAAGGAATTCGAAGAGAAGAAAATCGATCTGAAGGAAAACTTGCTCACTGATATGGAGGAGAAACGTAAGATGATCGAGTCCGACCGTCACACGATGGAACTCACAGGAGATTCGATGGAGGTGTTTAAATTAATTTCTATTCAATTGACACGCGTGTATTCATTATTAATGTTATACGTTATTGATACTTACATGTGCATTTTTTCATGAAGATTTTCAGCATCGATCAAGCTCTGCGATATTCTATCAAAGTGCACAACGGTTTTCAGGCATACTATACGTTCTTTCTTTCTTTTTTATTTTATTAATAATATTTGCTATACCATTTTGTTTACATCGTTATTTTATTCGAGGTGAAACCAGTAATGACAAGGAAGTTACGAAGACGTCCCAATGATCCGGTACCCGAGAAGGTGGAGAAGCGACGAAAACCGGCTCCAGCTTCGTTAAATTATCTGTTGGATGAAAAGGAGATCGAGAACGATTTGAAAGCGATCAGCCGCGGCAAAGTACTTACTAGCGTTCGAAAGCCAGGTATAAATATGCTGTTTATATACAAAAGTTCCGGTGTGTTACACAAGTATTACAAATAAGAAGTATAATTGCGACAATGTGTCCGTTACAGTGGTCTTGCCACATTACAATGCAGTGAGTATGCCGTCTCAACACATATCGCAATCCTCTGAGGCCCCATTGGTGGAAACTCGGATAGAAGATGGGAAATTGTTGTACGAGCGGAGATGGTATTTACAATTTATCTCCTTTACTTATATTTTTGCAAGCTTCATTCCTCGAACGTAAAAACATAAAAATGATGTTTTCGTCTGTTTGGGGGATACTGATTTCATCAATAGGTTCCACCGTGGTCAGCCTGTCTACGTCGAGGGTAAGGATCTCGCTAGGTTCGCGGCGCACATCTCGGCGATAGGCACCGAAGCGGTACGTATATAGACGATAGAATTCGAAGACGGATTTTGCGGTTGGTACACTATGTATGATTTATGTTCTCTCCAGATCTGGGTGAAGAAAGTCTCCGACTCCAGCAAAGTGCGCATTTACACGACGCAGCTGAGTCGCGGGAAGATCTCCATCAAGCGACGGGCGTCTTAATCGACTCTCTCATTCTCACCGTTCGTCGTTAAACTTCCGACAAGGCGCGCTTGTTGCTGACTGAAGCGTCGTCATACGAGCCGATGATTCTCACGCTGCTGTTCTTCTGCCACCAGTGGAACCACGCCTTCTGATGGTCCTGCAACGACATGTAGGTCCAGACGAAGTAGGACAGAATCAGGAACGCCACCATCGACAGCAGGGAGTAGGTGGTCCATCGCGCGGGCGGGAAGTTGTCGTAGTTATTCGAGGCGTAAAAGTCCGTCGCCACCACGCACATGTAAGTGCACGCGACGGTGACGGGGGCGATGATCAGGCATCTGAGCAGGTCTGCCTGCTCGCTGTGGACGTACAGGTCGTACTGGTCCTCGTTCAAACAGAGCCAGATCAAGATGGAGTGCAGGACTTTGTAACGAGGTGTGCGCTCCACCCGGAACTCCTGGCCGCACAGTTCGCAACTGTTCCTGTTGCCCTCTTCCAGCCATCGTTCCAAGCACTTCAGATGGATCGCGCCCATCGTTCCCTAATTCCCGTGTTAAAATTGAGCAATCTGCGTGATCGTTTATTGCGGAGAAATTCTTCAAATATATATTATCTATGTGTATGTATATATGTCAAATGAGATGTTGGACTTGGAAATTTTGGCAATGATCAAAGTGCACTCGCGAGTCGACTGAAGAAAGTCGACCGAAAAGTTCGTATTTATTCTCAGGTTGTAATAAATTAAGCACGGGATGTTCCTGAAGTATAAGCGAAACAAAGATTTCAAGTTTCTACGTGCTTCTAATGTTTAGCTGCCTGTTCGGGAACAACCTGTACAAACAAATGTAACGCTCTGAAACCGTAAAGACCTCAAGCATCAAATTGATCATTCCACGGATCTAATTCCAGAAAAGAAATCACAATAAAAAGATTTACAATATAAATCTTCGATATCCTTCCTAGACTTGGATTTTAACTAATTAATGAGTAAACTATAAACGAATGTTTGTCACTCTTGAAACCTTTTAAGGAGGTTGTAAGGTGAAATGAGTTTGACAAGAATTCGGTGAGAAAAAAACTTCTACTATATGTATTGAAATATTACCTAACTGTTTGTGCAATTAGAAAAACATTAGACTGAAAGCTGAGATATATATTTACAGCTATAGTTGACATCTTTTATATTTATTCTTTGAAATTGGCGCATTATTTTTACTTTTTACGTTTATATCTTCTAAACTAAAAATAAGATTTTGATGAGAAACTACTATAATATCAAAGATTAATATGCCGATATTGTACACAAATTTCAGAATTATTGGCCATTTTTTAAATATTATTCAGATGAAATTAATCTGTAAGAACGTAATTTTGCTTGACAAATACTAAATCTGTGAATGTCTCCCTTGATATGCCACTGAAAATATAATACTGAGCCTTACAACCGCCTTAAATTGATCACATCACAACTTCGTTGTGCCGAACCTTGCATCTGCACGGATACACAACAGGTAATTCTTGATTGGGGTCGTAACAAATGCGACAGTTTGCGTCTTCCGTTGAATCCGTTGATAGTAACCTCTTCATATCAGACACCGCGACATCCTGGAACCTCGATTGGCCTGCGCGTGATGGCGAGTTTTTCTCCAGCTCCACCTCAATTTTCGAAATAATGCCGTCTAAGATATCGGCGATTGAGCTACTTCTCGTGATCATCGCGGAAAGAAAATTTCTATGATGTATCTTCGCGAAGAAACAAACGAGGCTGTGCGAAACACATGACATATGGCAGACACGCGTTGCACAGAGGCGTCCCTTTCAAAAAAGGGAATAGAAATCTGGTGAGCCTTTCGTTTATTGTTGCATGTATAAAAATTTGTATTACGTTATGGTGGATACAGCTGAGTTAGTCGCTTGAGATAACCTTAAAGAGACGTGTAACTATGTGCATTTTGTAATAATTAATGAGTAAACTATAAACGAATGTTTGTCACTCCGCCATCATGTCCACGCTGAGGCAATCTTCTCCCATGTTACTGGGCGAGGTCTCCAGCTCTCCGATCTCGTTTGATTCGCTGGACACGTTAGTCGCAGTTTTATTCATTCTACCTTCAACAAGCTTCAAAAAAAAGGGGGAGGGGGGAGGAAAAGAGAAGAAAACTCACCTGTCCAGAGAAGGATCATTACTGAACATTTCAGTTGGAACCGTGGGAGGTGCTTTCTCGGGCACAAGCTCCAAATAAGTCTGGCGGGACTCTAAATGTCTCTCTACCTCCTCCGGTGTCATGTGTCCGTCAGACATTAAAGATACCGGAACCATATTATTCGAAGATTGTACCTTGAAAAGTATAGACCGTCCTTGTTAAGATGTTCCTGTGCAAGTTGAACGCACAGTGCGAGATGTACTCACTATAGGGGTGCTGTTTGTCTTAGCGACTTTTGGCGTGCTCTTTTTCTTCTTACTGGTACTGAGTGGCTTTGTGATCACCGATGGGTGATGAGGAGTATGATTGTTGACATTTATCTCGACCTTCTTTCTGAAAGTTGCACATGAACGTCTGTATATTCCGTTTCGAGCGATTTGGTTCGACAATCGCGTTTTACTCACCTCTTGGAATTGTCGAGACGAACAACCTCCTCATCCGACGACTCTGTCTCGTCGCTCTCACTGAACGACGCGTCGACTTTTTCATATTGAAGAAGACGATCCAGCAGGAAACTCTTGTCTCTGTTCACCTTGAGCAGTTTTCTCTGTGTAGAACGCAGAGCTTCTTGGAAACACTCATTTTCCTGCAATATGACGATGCAGTTTCCTGTAGCAAGCGAAAGTTACAATGACATTTCGTAAGGAAGCATCTCACATACATAAATCAGGAACTTTAGCTTCCGCTTGAGATTGCGATACTGGTCTTTGTAGTTAGGCACTTCTTCCTCGGGACTATCTTCATCGTCCTCTCCTTCTGCGTCTGCATTGTTGTTTCCAATAGATCGGCAATACCATCCGTCCAACATTGATCATCTGCAGCTGTAAGAAAACCACGTTCTCTCAGAGCTCAGTAAGTTTTCTCTCTCTCTCTCTCTCTCTCTCTCCACTCTCACACTTCTCAGGTCGATACTAAATTTTTTTTCGATTTACCGCAACTATGAATGCGCGTAACGCTGAATCACCGATTGAATTGTATAAATAAGTTTATCCGCATCAGCGAATATCTTACTTATTCACGCGATCGAACGGATGTAATGAAACCGACAAAGAGTTATTCGGGGACGCGCTTCATCCCGGAGAGAGGTTAAGTTTCACAAGAAACACGATAACTCGCACGACGGGCGCTTAACCGTGCGAAGAAACGTATATTCGGGCTCTAATTAGCCGGCCGAATAACGGCGAATCTTCCTTTGCACTCACTTGAAATCCCAGTGTGACTTGTCGCACGTTGCAAGCGCTTGCGGCGACCGATTATTGCGAAGATAAATAAGCTGTTTATGACTGGCTTCCATCCTGGACTCTTTATCGATTCTGTAGCAACTTCAGCGCGTCGCCGGTCGAACGAAAGCGCGCGCGCGTCGGTGGCGCTGACGCTGCCAACTTGAATCGCGTTTAGGTACGCAGTGCGAATTTCATTAGTTATGTGAGAAACATTCTGCGGTGCGTAACTCTGACGTGTAAATTTTAATAAAAAAGATCGAACCTTTCAATTTTTACGCGCTATCAATCGGCTCGCTCCTATTGTTTGCGCCACACGAACGATTATTTCCGACGTTCAGTTCAAGTTTCAAATCCACGACGAGGCTATTTTTACGAATCTGACTTTTTATTCATAAGTCCGACAAATTGGTCGGCAAATTCTAGCTGATCAAGAAGAATCCGTATCTTTGGATTATTTTGCATAATTGCACTTCAGATTCCGTCTTTCGATTGCATTATGAAACATTCGGAGCTTCGGTGCTAAGTATTCGAATATATTCGAAGCATCGAAATATTGGGATTATAAGATTTTTTAACTATATCATGTCTGGTACATCCATTCATTTACAAAGGTTCACTTACATTTTTCAGTTCTCTGAGTGAAATATATATGTCGACATTAGTTTACAGCATTCGCAAAATTGTACTCTTCGAAGCTTCGAAACTTCGAAAATTACGGCCTTTGAGAATGAACCTTCGAAGTCTCGCCTTATTAAAATTCGAGAGTCCGAATTTCCTTTGAAGCTTCGAAGCTTCAAAATGATCCAAGATTAACGACTTAGTCAGAATCAGATTTAGCATGTCAAAAATTTAATGGTCCTTGTTATCCGAAACGGCCCATATGTTATCATGGGATTCTCTGTTATCGCGGATCGGTATTTAGCGTGTTCAATCCTTTCGGACCGACAGGAAACAATATCGATCCTTTCGGGGACATGCGCCCTGGGGGATATCCTTCGGCGTCCGCGTGTGCGAGAGGTGAAAACACACCGAGCTCTCGTCGTGAAATATCAGTGAACATGGACAGTCGATTGTTCCATCCCTGTTAACACGTGACATTTTCGCCCTGGGAAAAATGAGTCCCGGGTTAGGGCACGATCCTCTGCCGTCTTACAACAAGACTGTGATCGGTGAGTTTCGTGCCGAGGTAGAAAATATTTCTGCACCGTGTGGGTTTTATCATAGTCTCGATATAGACGTCGAGAATTTCTCTTCGTAAAATCGCGAGGAAACGAGCCGACGGGTTAGTTGGATTTTCCAATCGTCCCTTTTATGCCCGCATAAAGCGCGGAATAATGAGGGGAATACGCGTTGCGCGAGTGAAAAGATGTCGCGTACGCGAAACGGAAATATTGTCGCGTTTTATGTGTGAATGGGAAGTTCGCGAAAGCCAATAAATCAGTCCCATTCATTGCTCTTTGTTCCCTTCAAGGAAACGCCGCGCTCTGCTTGTGGCAACAGCCGCAACACGTCTTGTTCCAGCTGGCGAATTTCTGCTTCGTGCTCTCGTATTCGGCGCCGTCCTCTAAGAAGGGTATTTTGTTCATGCACTCGGTACTGATCGTCGGTGAGTAATTAATAATAATAACAGAACGCGCGAGAGAGCATACTTCTCGCGAAACAATCCACGTCAAATATTATAAGAAAAAAAGGAATGACCATAGAAGAATAATTATAAGATCGAAGAAGAATAATTATACGAATAGTCGCAAAAGCAAGGACATTCTCGAAGGAAATTTAAAGGAAATATTTCGTCAATTTGTTTTCCTCTTAACCGAAAAAATCTTGTTGTTGATACAATGCGATTAATTACCGGAGCTTTAATCGCCAATTATTAATTTTCTTCTTGCCGTACTTTTCCAGGTTTTATGTTACTGTCGGGATGGGCTTGGCATGTAATTTGCGCGCCGGATATATTTTCCTGGAACTTCAGCTTCTTGTTACTGAACATCGGCCAATTAGTGTACACCTTTTATCAGATGAGACCCGTCAAGTTTGATCCCGAATTGGAGGAGGCTTATCACACGCTTTTCTACCCCTTCAAAGTGAGCACCTTCGTGAGCGAAATCGAGAGGGCCGCCTCGAATCAATCACCGGATTTGGACGATCGCTTCGTTTCTCTACGTTGAATTTGTGATTCGCAGGTCTCGCGTTTGCAATTCAAGCGTTTGGTATCGCCGGATTTCACGACGATAATGTCCCTCCATGCCGGCGAGGCGTACGCGATGCAGAACTTAACGAAAACCGACAGACTGGGCTTGCTGCTCAGCGGTAAAGTCAACGTTCTCAGCGACAACAATTTTCTGCATCCGATATTGCCCTGCGAATTCCTCGATTCGCCGGAATTCGAGAGTTCCCGAGCTTCCGTCGATGATAAATTCAAGGTGCGTCTCCGCTTATGTTTTCCTTTTCTCAATTGTCGCCAGGATATTTCGGGAATTGTGGAATTATTAATTATTATTATTGTTAAATTGTATCGAATATTTGTCTTAGGTTTCCATCGTGGCGGCGAGTTCTTGCCGATACTTATTCTGGCAGAGATCAGCTTTGGAGTATCTCCTTGCGAAGGAAACTTACCTTGCGACCGTCCTGACCACGCTGGTGGCGAGAGATATCGCGACGAAGCTGTACTCGATGAATAACAAGGTGCTTTATATAATAAAAAAAAAAAACTACTATTTTCCCCTTTTTCCGCGGAAAGAAACCGAAAAAATTCGTAGGAAAAAAATGAAAAAAAAGTTACTTCTCATTTTTTTTTCGCAGAAGAAGACCGAAAAACCGCGGAAAATGGAGAAAACTCCGTTTTTTCCGAGCCTTTAAAACTATAGTGTTAGTTTTGTTTTTATTGTTACTTTCAATTTTATTTTTTTCTTTATTTTTTACACAAGATATTGCCATTTTTCACTCGTCTTGTAACTCTACAACCTTATTCTTCAACTACGCCTTTTGCCTCGTCAAAATCTCAGATAGTTACGGACAAAGGGTCGCATTTGGACATTCGCCTACCTTCGATCAGCGCCGGTTTAGGGATAAGCGGCGAGTACAGAAGTCCTCGAACGTACAGGCACGCGCTGATTCGCAGAAAAGAAACTGAACTGATGCCCAACAACGGTATGTGCCACTCGCAATACTCGGACAGAATCACAAACCGAATCGCTATCTCGATCCTTTCTGTATCTTCGGCCGCGTTTAAATTACATCCGCGTTAATCGACCGACATCGATCGTCCTATTCCAGTCAGCAGCATAAAGTTCAAGGATCGCACGATCAACAACCTGACGAAGAAAGGCGCGCCGAACATGGAGCCCCTTCCGGAGCTGCCGTCCTGCGACGACCTGGCCTCCAGCGGCGTAGAGAGCTGGCTGGACTCCTCCAGCAAGTATCACAGTTGCGAGATCGTCGACGAGGAATAGCATCACGCCTCCTACTCGAACAACGAGAGCTTGCTCAGAGATGGCGAGTTCAGCGAGCAGGAAACGCAGACCTACTGCTGTAAGAGCGGGGACTACTGGGAACCCTATCCCGAGAACTAGCGATAGAAAAGATCCGTAGATACCTTCTGGATCTTAACTCGCTACGGGGTTCGATCTCTCTCGGGACGATTCAACGAGATTCGACGACGAGCTGGAATTGCTTCTCGTTCTTGGAATATTCGTTAAAAAATGGACAGTGTTCGAACACTCGTGGAAGCACGCGTTCGTGCTGATCGTCCACGTATTTTACGATTATCGAACCGTAGGTTGTTGCCCGGTAACGAAGATCGCAACGAAGGCATCTTTCGAATGTTATGCGTGCAAATTTAACGTTCTGTACATACTTGTAAATATCGTACTCGAGGAACTCGCGGAGAATGAAATTTCTCGCCCGAGAGGAAGAGGAGCGCACACACAACTACTGTGAGAATATTCTAAATAATTTCCCGAAAGGGGCAAAACACACACACACACACATACACACTCGTTAAATAAGTGCAATGTTCATAAGTGAATTCACATAAATGCGCCTATAACGTTTTTGTAAATATCGGGATATCGATCGAGGGCTCGACAGCTAGCGAGAGTGGAGGATTTCTCATGAAAAAGAGGTTTTTACAAGAGAAAAGAAGAAAAAAAAAGGAGACGAACGAGGAAAAATGCCCAAATATCCAACCAAATTTTAAAACAACCTGAGACTATTTATAATTGAATAAATAAAGAACATGCGGTACTTAACACGGGACGTTTCGTTATGGTACTCCTCGACGACGAAGTCTACCCTTTCACTATTCCACCCGATAAGCCGCCGAGTGTTCCCAATGGTTTATCTCAAATTTCTAAAAAAGAATTCTCCCGCTGGCAGATAAAAAGTCATGAATATTTATATATTTAACATTAAGTCTACCTCGTTAGCGACGTTGTTCTAATTAAAGTCACGCGTGCTCGGCTGTCAAATTTCCCAGCGAACGTTCCCCGCAGCCACCCTTAACAAGCCTTACCGTTTTACGGGCGCGTTTTGCCGTGTACAAAAGCCGAGAGCTCGAGCGAAGGAAGGAACGGCTCGAGCGGGCGAGAGGAGGGTGAAAAGACAAAGAGAACGGGAGCGAGAAGGATCACCCCCGCTGTGCGGCAGTGGAGGGAAAAAACACTGTCGAAGGACTCGCGAGTGGGACCTACGAGCTTCCTCGCGCTCGGCCTCGGAAAGGGGGTTAAGCGAGCGGTGGTGCCACCTACGCGGAGGGCGTGGCGCTAGTTCTAAGGGTGGCTTAGTGTCGCGAGAGCCCCCAGAGTCGCGTCATCGTGCGGCGGTCGGAGCGTGCAACCCCCGTTGCACAGTTTCGCGCCCTCGGTAGGGCGGCTGAGAGCGAGAGGGCGAAGCGTGTACGCGCGCCAGAGACGATCGAGCGAGGGGGTTGAAGGCGGCCAGGCGGGAGGGGTGGGTGGCTGGCTGGCTGAGGGAGTGAGAAGCTCCGTGAGGCCGATGGGAGCAGGGCTGGCGTACTCTGTATGCGCGCATCGGCAGGGAGATTCCGCGCGGAGATGAGCGTACGGACGGTAGTCCTGCGAGCCTCGTCGTCGTCCTCGTCTTCCTCCCGATGATGCCGTGTCCCGGGACTCGGGCTCCGTGCGGCGAGCAGGAGGACGTCATCGCCACCGCCGGCAGGACGAAGGACACGCCGTCGGTGTGAGGACCGCTCCTCGCTCCTGGCGGCAGTGACCATGGCGCCTGTCCTGCCGTGTAAACAGTGCTTCGAAAGATACGACCCTTTTCCCGGACCGCCGCCGTGTCCTTGCTGACGAGTGGACGGAACATCCGGTGCGTTCAGATAGATAGATAGATAAGGGGAGAGAGAGAGAGACAGAGAGAGAATGCGTTTGTGTGTGTGTGTGTGTGGGAGGGGAGGGAAGGAAAGGGTGAGAGAACAGAGGATGCTAGAGAGAGTTGCGCGTGTTCGAGCAGCTTCGCGAGGCCACCAGGGAAGAGAGTGTTGACGAGATGATCTCTCTCTCTCTCTCTCTCTCCTCTCTCTTGCTGGTAGTGTCTGTCGCCGTAATTGAGGTTCACGAGGACCACGGACGCGAGATGATGAGTGATGAAAGTGCGATTGTTATTGATCAGTAGCGTGACGGGAACATGCGTTTCGCATGTCGCACGATTGTTGTCTCGTTCGCCACGGTCAGCCACGGGAGACGGCGGTCAGCGGGGATCGCGAGCACTTGTTTGTCGGCGTAGGTCGCTTCGATTCTTACGGATTTGTAAGTGCGTCTCTCTCTCTCTCTCTCTTTTTGTCTCTTTCTCTCTCCTCCGTCCTCCCGCTCCTCTCTGCCGTCCCCACGGTTGGATAAAACACGTATCCCATTTGAGCGCTCTCGAAAGAGCTCTGCGGAGAACGAGAGATGAGTAATGTATGATCGCTATTGATCCGAATGAGAGCAAATTGTGCGTCCGCGGTGTGTGCGGTCGTTGATTCTTCGCCAGTTCACGCGACGGGAATCGTCTCTTTATTTGATCGTTCTGGCTGTGCCGCGTATAAAAGGGCAGATCACACGCAGATTGATTCCGATTGGCCTGCAGCTGATGCAAGATCACTTGGCTTATCCTGAATTGCGGGATATTCAAGGGGATAATCCGTGCCGGAAAACGGTTCCGCGAGAAAAGACAATGAATGGCTGTTGGTTTGGCCGATGCCGCGTCGTTAGTCAGCGATGATTGATCAGGATGAAACAGCTGACGGGAGAATCGTGATCGTCGGTGATAGAAAGAGGATATCGTTTCGCGATAAGACGACGATACCTCCTACGTCACTCGTCGAGAGAGGCGAGGAAACGAATTCATTCAAACAGCCATTTGATATTCACAGACTTTAAGTTCCGAACGGGCGAATTTGAATTCCCGAATTTTCTGCGTAGATATTATTTAAGAGCAAACTTTTTCATGGCTCCTTCGTGCCTCTAGACGAATTTATCGATGGATCCACAAAGTTTGAAGATAAATTAGAAAACGCCATTTTTTCCTCACCAACGTTTACATCTCCTGAAAATTTCAATTAACCGATGAATTATACAATATTAATTAATAAACAGAAATATCACGCGCTCGCATCATTTTGCCCTGATGTGTCTCTTTCGCTGATAGCTGAAAGGGAGAGACGAATTTCATCGGAGTCTACGGAGGCGGGCTGATTTTCACGAATCGTCTGGTGTTTCAGGTTTCAAGAATACCCGACAAGACCGCGGGAAGAAATCAGGAACGTTTCGTTGAAAAACGAGAATAAGCAAAAAGAGAGGAAGAAGGAAAGAAAGAAAAAGAGAGAGAAAACAAAACGGGAGACTCGCCGTAATTACTGTGACTCTGTGGTGATTCACGTGATCGATCCGCACACGGTCCACCCCTTCCTCACGTGGCGAGCTCGTCGAAGCTGAAAAGTGATCGGCTGCGATGGTGTCGCGTAAAGTGATGTTCGTTCGCGTCGCGAATCCCGACGAGGACAGAGGAAGCCGTGCGCCTTCGTGTTCGCTGCAGTCGACGCACACTCACAGTAGACTGAGGTGTATCATCCTGCACTACAAAAGACATATCGCTTATCCACCATAAGGTAAGGGAGCGCGGAAAGTGTGTTTACGTGGAAAGTTGAAAATCGAATGAGCGAGATTAAATCACCCGTCCCGCCCCGCTGAGAGCTCGAGAGATCGTGATGGCGATCGTGTAGCACCCCTCGATACAAACCCCCCGTGATGTGAGGCCGCTAAAAGTAGCACGTCTTTTTTCTTTTTGCGAGAAATATAGGAAGGCGCTCACGTTACGCAGGGAATTAAATATTTCCCAGCCATTAAGATCGCTATCCTGCGCTATAATCTGTCTAATCGGTCGCGTTCGTTGTCTCGATCAGCAGGCGACGCGAAAGAGAGAGAGAGAGAGAGAAAATTAATTGTGACATGCGACGTTAGAATATTTACCTGTTGCACGTTCGTGCAAAGAGAAACGTCGAGACTTGCAAGTAACCGGCAACGAAACGCTAAGTTCGCCAACAATGATTCGCAACGATCTTCCACGCAAGGGCGAAAACGGGACCTTTGTATTCGGCCGGCGTTAAAGGGGGACCCGAGAGAGAAAAAGAGAGAACGAGTCCAAAGAGGGGAGACTCTTAACGTCGGATCATGCGAACTGGATGTTTTACCGCGACATATATCGAACGTGAACAATTCGATTTTTAATATAACCAACGAAACGGGAACATATTAATTTACGACTGGACCGATTAAACCCTCGCAATAACCAGAATCGCGATATATAATTTAGCTCACTCCGCAGTATCAAACTTCATCAATTATTCCCGGTATGGACGCGGTAATTAACCGCTCCGCTATAGTTTTAACGGCATACCGCGCTATGCGTTAAAGCGCATATATATATATATATATATATATATATATATATATATATATATATCTGTATTAAACTGCGTGTTCTGCGGTGTAAAATTAGCCAGTATGTGTGTGCGTGTGTACGGCCGCGTGTGCGTGTAAGAGCTTGGACACAATGATAGGAACATAAAACAAGGAATTAAATTTTGACATATGGACAACCATGCTTCGATCCACAATGAAGAAATATAGTGAACCAGGATTAGGAAAAACAAAATTGTTCGAAAGCTCTTTTTGATGCACAGATCGGTATTATAAAAGTTCCAACACTCTTTTTCGACGAATTTCGCAATGCACTTTTCGTATCCAGCAGGAAAACGTATTTCTTGAGAATGATTAAAAAGCGAATTCTCCTATTGGATACCGAAAGCGTTTGCGAAACTCGTCGAATAAGTGTTGCAACTTTTATTATGCCGACTGTATAATCTCAAAGGGGAGAATTGATCCAATAAGACGAAAAACATTGGGCTTCTGGTGCCAATAATAATGGTCAATAGTTGTAAAAAGGAGTGTTTATTGCTGAATAAGCATAAGATACCTAAACGTTTCTATTTAAACCATTTTCAATAGAATTAATATATCAAATTAAAAATTAAGTTAAGCATTAAGAAATTAATTAATCTTAGGAAGTTAGTAAAAGTTAAAAATTAAAAACACTATAGAAATTCTATTCCTTTTAATTTGTGTAATTTGTGTGCTCACAGAGTTAAGTAGTTGGCTGAAAGTTAACTTTCAAAAAATATCTAATGACTAATCAATATGTAATACAAATGATTATGATCGATTGATAATTATCTCAAAAAATGATAAAAGTAACGACAAAAAAAAGAATTAGTTCCTACAGCTAAAAACTAACTCTCAGATGAAAATTAGTCGTAATTTGGTTAATTTAGCTAATTTTTTGTCCCTGTTTTTAATTCTCACAGTTGAAAACTATGGTAACTAAATTTCAATTGTACATATGGACAGCTAATTCCTCTTTTCCGTGTATTAATAATAACAATAGAGGTTTGTTAGAAAACAGTGGTGGTCTCGTTTTAAACTTTATATCTTATTCTCCATTCCTCTTATTGTGTTTTAAACTATATAGTTCATTCCTAATATTTTATTTCTAATTTCCTATATTTAATTCCTTATTCTCCCCTTTCGTTGTATGTGACTGTTTTTATTTTCAATACGTCCCACCGAGTTCCGCGACATACAGAATATTCACGTAGCCAGAGGCTCATGTTGTGGGCCGTGTGCCGATATCCTTGACCCCGGATGACACAGACGATCCTCGCTTGCCGATCTGAGGAGCATCAGATGGATAGGAATGTCGTGTCTAGGCGCGCACGGCCAGACGGAATTCGCGGCGCACGTGCGTCGCCGTGTATAACGGCCTTTACGAAAGAAGGGTTGTACGTAGCAGACCGCGTGGTTCCTACCCGATGTCGAAAGGGTCGATAGCCCTCTCTTCTCGTCGCGCCCGCGCCGTCCCCATGCTCTATATCGCGGCCACCGTATACCGCTCTCTCGGTTGCTCATTGTTTACCGGAAAAAGTAGCTGCTTCGTTTCAAATCGTTTTACACCCTAATCCTCGTGGCCCAGGGGGATTAAATCTGCCTCGCTGATGAGTCGTGTCGGCGTGTTACTTGTACGCGATCGACCACGGTATTGGATTTTCTCGAGTTTGCGGACGCTTTTGGCGCGCATCTGTTCGTCTCTCTCTCTCTCTCCCTTTCTGTATTCTTTCGCTAGGCGTTTACACTACCGCACACCAATAAATATGTGCTGGTCAGCCTAAGCGAAACCCGTTCATATTACTTAAATTCAATTCTATTCCACGACAATCTCTTGTCTCTAAAAACAGACGATTTATATAATACATACATTATTGACTTTTTTTTGTAATTACTCTCGCTCTGTGTATTTATTAAATATTTATTAGGTATATATGCCTATTAAATATCTAGCACATACCAACTATCAATAACGTAACGTTAATATTATAATTTCTCGCTTAATAATGTAACTTACATAATACGCGCTTTATATCGTTGAATGGGTAATTATAACAGCGATGTTATGTTATTGTTAGTTGATGTTTACTGGATACTCCCCTCTTCTTCTCTCTCTTTCTCTCTCTTTGTCTCTCTCTCTCTCTCCCTCTCTCTCTCTCTCTCCCTCCTTCCTTCTCTCTTTGTCTCCCTTTCTCTCATTCTCCTTGTGTTTGGTCTGAGTTTGCCACTATCTAATATAAGTAGCATTATAGCGCAGAAGTTAGATGGAATTTTACGCTTGACTGTGGCAACCGGGTTTCACCATTCGCCTATCGCGGTGACCCTTCAACCCCCCCGATAACCGCCGCATAAAGCGGAGCGCTTGTATTGTGGGTCACAATTTCCTCGACGCGCGTCGAAGTGTCGCTTAATATCGTCGGCTTTCCAGTTTCACAGTTACGAGGCGATCGGCAAGGCGGACTCAACCAACCGTTTAATCCACTTAATCGTGGCGAACACGAGCGACGACGTCGCGGTGATTCCGCGTTCGTGGTGGTTCGCGCGCGAAGGGTGTAACACAGGGGTGTGCACGGAAAGTAAGAGGGGGCCGAGGGACGCGGGGCTGAGAGAGACGGAAAGAGGACAACGCGCGCGCCGGCCGCGGCTACACGCGATTCTCATTTACTTATGAAGTAATCGCGCACACGAGTTCCTGACGGAGGTCGAGAAGTCGCGCGAAACTATTTACGTGCGATGGACGTCGCGCACGACAAGCTTGTGACGGGGCAACAAGTGTTCACCTCGTCCAGGCGCAAGTCCAACGTGCTCCAGCGAGGATCTCGGCGGACACGACATCTCGACGTGGGCTCGACGTTTGTCTGCACGCGGCCGCGGTACGCGAATTACCGCATTTCTTTCGTCGTTAAACCCGTCCCGACGCAACGCGCTCTGACTGGAACCAACCTCACGTCAGCGTCGCGGAAACAACAGGTCGATTTTCACCGTCGCTCTCAGCTCTCGATGTCCCGAAGCGAGTGCGCAGTTTTTTGCGCGAAATTTCCCCGACGCGACGCGTAGCACGCGCGAGCAGACTGTCGGGATTAGAAGAACGGAAGAGAGAAAAAAAACGAAAAACCATCTGTCGTACTTATCGGTCGGGCGATATCGCCGAGCCGAGGAATGAAATAAATAGAGGATCCTGGAGATACTTGGTCCCCTCTTTTTAATTTTGTCGAGTATCTCACAAAATGATCAAAACGTTCTTATGCTGTATCATAAATATTTTAATAGGGTATCTAACTACATCGATCAAGTTACAAAACAATAATAATTCTAAGAGTAATTTATATTTCGGTGAAACAATTGAATTCTGGGAGACTTTATCATTCTTATATCTTGATTATTTAGCATAATAAAAAATATTGAATAACCATAATCTATTTTTATCAGAGGTTTTATGAAATTAAACAAATTACAAAATATAATTTCAAAAATAAAATAAGTTATATTCGTCTTGGTATGTTTATCAATCAAAATTATTATAGCATAATTAAGTAAAGATAATATTGCATCCAGAATTGTTATAATTTATTGTAGGTACATCGAATGAGTTGCGCTATTAAAATATGGAAGACACGATCCGGGGATCAAGCATTCCCAGTCCAGCGTGGATCATGTCTACCCAAGTAGTGCCTTTCTTAAATTTTCATTTTATTTTTAAGAACAAATAGATTTTTGTTAACTAGCTTTGTAATTACTTTCTTAAAGCAATCAACTTTTTATCTCATTATGGTATTATAATCTAGTTATAAAATCTAACAATCAAAACAACGATTGAGAATTTACGAAAGAAAGAATCGAACACCCCAAAAAATAAGACACATCTTCACTCTATCGTTATCAGCTGTCAAAATAACTAACATTTCCTATAGCTAAGAATGAACACTGCTGCCGACATGAAAACAAAACAAAAATTGAATCTTTCCATCGGCGAAATAATGGTCAGGCATCGAGTCTCTTAAAGGATCAGGGTGTCCACAGGTTCCTTCACACGGCGATACGGAGAACGCCGCGGATGTTACCACAGAAAGAGATCGCACGGGGAAGAAGGGGGAGAGGGGGTGATGAGACAGTGATGCGCGGAAATGAGCGGGCTATTTCCATGGAGAGCATGGGAAATAATTCGGGT